CTTTTTGTAGGAAATTGGAATTGTGGAGCAGAAATTTAAAGCAAGAAACTTAACAATGTTTACAGATTTGAGTGATTGTATTAAAATTTACAAGGCTGAAGAACGACATGTAAAAGCTGTTTTTGTAACCATTGAAAATCATTTAGCAATGCTAGCAAAGAATTTTAAAAAGTACTTTCTTGCTGACGACAAACTGATATCAAGTTACAAGTGGGTGAGGGATCCATTTCAAAATACTCCCGAAGGACTCTCAATTGAAGAGGAAGAAACCTTCATAGACTTCACGGCAAGCGGCGAAACCAAAAGACAATTTAGTAATAAATCACTCTTTGAATTTTGGCAGGAGTGGATGATGAGTTTTCTGCACAAAAAACAAGGGCATTTCGCATTCTACTAGCGGTGGCTTCTTTGAAGACAAAATATAGATCTCAGCTAAATATAGAAAAAGAACTGAGAGTGTCTATTTCTAATATTAAACCCTCCTTCGAAAAACTTTGCTCTGCAAGACAGGCCCAAGGAAGTCACTAATAATTATTAAATTTGTTTTTAATTTAGTAAGTTGTTTTAATTTAATAAGTTAATTATTAAATATGTCGAAATGTATTTTGTTTTGTATGTGTGTGTGTGTTCTTTCCTTTCAGTCACTTAATCAATTTTTTAAATAACCTTTTCTCTTGGAATGCTCGGCCCCTAGGGGTGCGCCCACAGGTGAGAATCATGGCTACGCATTGAAATAAGTCTTAAACAATACGCATTCGCTTAAGTAACGTTTTCTGTAGCCCCTGTAGCCTCTTGCTTTGGCAAGAAGGAGGAGGGAGACTTTGCGAACGCCGTTTCCTTAAATGTTTAAAATATGCTTTATTCTTAATTTCACTATCCCCTTGCATGATCCATTTAATCTCTATCAGAGTTTGATTAGCATAGCACTGTATCTGTTGTGAGCTCCATGATTAATATGTTAAAAGATATTCAACAGTGTTGTGTTCCTTTTGACAGATTTGTTTTCTGTGTTTGGGCAACAGTGAGAAGATTAGAAATGTTTGATTTCCTTAATTATGTAAGCAAATAAAGTTTGGCTTTTTAGCAAGAAAATGCAATGGTTTATTTAAAATATTTCTTTTCAAGTGTTATAGATTGGAGTCAGATTTAATTTAAAGGCGAGAACGACTGAATGAAATAATATTCAAGTAGATTCAACGCAACATTAGTGGTCACAACCGGGAAGTGATCTCACTGGATTTTGAAGGTAAATACCGTTAAACTTTTAAGCAGGGAATTATTAGTAAAGAAACGTTCGCCTGCTCGAGGTAATTCTACAAAAACTTTTAATACCTTGAGTGATTCATTAAATCAGGAAAAACCTAATGAGGTAGAAATTCGATCAAATTTTGTTAGTTTAAGAAGGATATATGCTCAGCTTTCTAGTTTCGATTCTGAAATATGTGATTTATTAGTTGTAGATGCTGATACAGAAATATATAAGCGCGAGTGTTTGATTATTGAAGAATACAATGAGAAGATGGATAGTATTACAGTAAAAGTAGACATTTGGGTTGATCTTTACATTATGGTAACTTGGCGTTTTTTTGGCGAAAATTTGGCGACCAACTCTCCTACAGCAACCCTCTATTTTTTTTTCCCCGCCGCCTTTGTCTTCACGGAAAAGACAGTTCATTTCTTTATCTACTGAAACTTTCCAACAATCTTAGCGAATTAACTTATGCTAGAAATTTTATCTAACAAAATGCTAATCATGACAAATATCACTGCAAAATTGGGAAAAAAGTGCCACAATACCATACTCCTTACGGTTTTTCAAAATAACACATACACATAAACCATGTACACGCCCCCCGACTTACTTTTACTTAAAAAAGCATCCAGAATTGCACAAAATGCATTGCGCACACTCTTCACTATATCCATGTACACTGCTTTTTCTCATAAATTAGAAAAATTTCACGAAAATACATGACAATTTTCTCAATCTTTAAACCCGGTAAAAAGAACATATATGAATTACCTGATCGCGAAAAAGTATTTACCCTTTCCAAATATGAACATTTCCACATATGAAATAAAAAAATATCCAAAACTTTTACCTCTAAATCATCTATTACATTATACCACGTCACCAACGAATTCATACCGCAGGCATTACAAATACTTAGTATCAGATATTTAAATTATTTCCATGCACGTTTACTTCAACTTAAACGTATACCAAATTCCTACAAACATAAAATTCACAAAATAACTATCATTTAATTAAAATATCACTAAACCATGTACACGTCGACTTATTTTACTTAAAAAAAACATCCCAGAATTGCACAAAATGGCATTGCGCACACTCTTCACTATATCCATGTACACTGCTTTTTTCTCATAAATTAGAAAAATTTCACGAAAATACATGACAATTTTCTCAATCTTTAAAACCGGGTTAAAAAATAAAAAGAACATATATATGAAATTACCTGATCGCGAAAAAAAAGTATTTACCCTTTCCAAATATGAACATTTCCACATATAAAATAAATAAATATCCAAAACTTTTACCTAAGTCATCTATATTATATTATAAACGTCACCATACAAAACTTAGTGTCAGATATTTAAATTATTTCCATGCACGTTTACTTCAACTGAAACGGTGTACCAAATTCCTACAAACATAAAATTCACAAAATAACTATCATTTAATTAAAATATAATTAAATTCAAAAACACTACTTAAAATGAGCCATACATTAAATTAATAAAAATTACCTTACAATCCTAATTACTCTAAACTAAATCATTGCTAATAACAATTTTCCCAATAATACCAAATTCCTTTACTTCCACCTTACATTTAGAGAACATGCATAAAAATAATATCCTCAAATAATTAAAAATACTAACTTACCTAATCTTCTTCAGAATCTTGATTACGGTCCGATAAACTTTCTTTAGTTACACGGCCATGGGATCCAAAAAATTCACGAACACTTTTCACACAACACAGAATAAACCAAATACAAATTTCCAGATTTTTTCCCGATTTCCCCCCCCCTTTTCCGATTAAAGAACCGTAATTCGTCCATTAATATCACATGACATATCCCATGATCTCTCATTTCCCTCACACAAAATAATGCGTAATCGGAACTGAGTACTGCTCACATTATTACCAAAGTCCCAGGTAGTAACCTTTATCGCCTCCAAAATGTCGCCAAACTACCAGTTACCATATTGTAAAGATCAACCGACATTTGTATAAACAGAATTTTAAAGGATCAGTGTAACCAGTTAGTTTGTTCTTCTCCCATACAGGTTAAAAGGAAATTGAAATTACCGAAGATTGAACTCATTAAATTTACCTGTGAAATTAAGGACAGGCTTGCCTTTCGGAGTCAGTTCCAAAGAATTCATGAAAATGAAAATATAGAAAAGGAGGATAAATTTCAGTATTTAATACAATGTATGTCGGAAGACACGATAGCTCGAGATATTGTTAACAGTTATCCGGCAACAGGTGAAAATTGTAATAAAGTGGTAGAATGCCTAAAATCTCGTTTTGGTAGAGATGAATTACTTATTGAGTTCTATGTACGAGAACTATTAAAGTTAGTCGTAAAAAATGCTACAGGCAATAACCGAAAATTAGACACTGTTAGACTGTACGATAAACTGGAAACCTATTTGAGAGCTCTGGAATTCTTTGGTTTGACATCGGATAAATATTCTGCCATGCTTTCCCTCTCATTGAATCTTGCATACCGGAAGACATTTTTAGGGTGTGGTTGCGAAATCCGATAGTTAGTACACTGGATGAGTCAGCGGAGAATCCATACAGTTAAAACAAAGCTAAAAAGCTTGTTTATGAAAACAGAAGTAGAAGGAGAGGAGCGAGTTCTCATAGCGAAATCTGGGTTTACAAATAATTATGAAAAAGGGGAGATAGAAAAGATGACTAGAGCTCTTAATCAACCGAAAGCTGCAGATTTATTTTTAGTTTGAAGGAGTTTTTGAAAAGAGAAAACAAAACATAGCTTGTGTATTTTGTGAAAAGGCACACGAGAGAATAGATTGTTTTAAGGCTCAAACTCTGAATTTCCAGCAGAAACAAGATATTTTAAAGAATAAGAAAGTCTGCTTTATATGTTTAAGAGCTGGACAAGAGCTCAAAATTTTGCAAGACAAACATTTATTATTATCAAATTATATATATCAAATTAAATTGAAAATTTTAAATTATGAAATTTTAATTGCATACAAATAAAATTTACTTGGCTTTTAGTATTATTTTTGTAGTGTTTTTGTATTTTATTAGATTGTATATAGTTTATTTTTGGTTTACATGCATAATTCGTGTCGGGGAAGTTTCCAATAGGCAAGACTTTCTAAATTACTTTGGTTTTTCTAAAAAACTTTGATTTTCTTCTCTTAATTACATTGGCAATTTACATTTAATTAATCTTTTGATTCCTAGTCAATTTACTTACTCAATTTCTCAAAATTCCTTCAGTTTAAATTTCTTTTTTAAGTAATTCACTACTTTTGGTTTTGAATATTACTATACACATGCTTATATGGATGCGAAAAACGAATTCAGTAATTGAAGAGTTAGGTTTAACTTCGCCTTTATAAAATCTATCTCCTGATTGCTCAACAGTTATTCACTTATGCAAATTAATTTAGTCTTAAAAATTCTTTAAAAAAATTTTTGGGATTAATTTTTTGGAATATTATATATTTTTCATGGTTTTAGATACTTGCAGTTAATTTACATATGCGCTCGGAATTTAAATGATATTCTAAAATAGTTCGCAGCAATAATTAATCTTTCATAATTTAAAATTTAAATTAACTTTAAATTAGCTTTATATGAACAGAGAATATTTGTTAAATTCAAATTTCATTCCTTGCTGCAATGGCGCACGAGAATTATTTAAATTTAATTTAACTTTACTGTTACATATATGTATATATACAAAGGAAAAATGGTTCCATACTTGCAGTAAAATTTTCCTTGTTCATTCTGAACGCATGTTCCATGATTGCACATGAGAAAATCACAGAGATCTGGAAAACAAAAACAAAAGCATAAAAGTTCAATAATAGTTCATGGACCGTCATTGAAAAGTGAAAAGAAGATTCAAGTATTTTCTTTCAGGTATACCACTTCTGCCAGTTTTTTTCTAATTTGGCGAGGCCCGAGCCATAAAACTGTTGAATGGTATTTCGATCAGCGTTCAAATTTTAGGGAACAGGAAGGCTGTATGGGCTGTTGTGGGGTTATCCATGTGTAACGTGGATACAGACCAATTTTTGTTAGGAAGTTGTCCACTAAGGCACCCTTTCCCTTAGGCAGATAGCCCTCTCGTGCTTTGCAGTAATCATCAAAGCCAAAACAAACCAAATTGGCGATTTTGTGAAAAACGTATTGATATAATTTTGACTGTGGTTTCATTAGCAATAGAAAACGAATCCATTGGTGGTTAGTGCTCCTGGTTGCGGCATCGCTGGATTCGGGTTCGAATTCCGGAGAAGACATGGGAACATGTATGCATCGGTGTGGCAAGTTCTCTTTCATACTTGCAAGAAAAAGCAACTTTTTTAGATTCCTTCTTCAAATATAAATTGGATGTGCTCACAGCATTTCTAGGCGCTTGTGAAATAAATGTATCCAGAAGGAGAACTTCTGTATTAGATTGGAATTCAATGAAGTTGTCAGATTCCACAACTTCATTAAATACTAGTCTTTGTCAGATGTCACAACTGATCTGAAAAAGATCCAAATTAAGCCAAGCTGAAATCTGAGGTACTATACAAAATCAAGGCAGCATCTATTAGATTATTAGGAGCATCACAGCATTCTTATGTGGAACGTTAACTTCAAAGTATATCAGGGGAATCTAATGAATATTAAATATTAGTGAACTTCTAAATTTATCTCCAGAGGTCTTTTTTTTGATCATATACTAGGGAGAAGTTCCAGATGACTTTATGTGCATCAGGTTCTTCTATTTACAATAAAATTAATGTAAAATTCCTTACCTGCTGCATCTTCAGTGTTCTCGACGCCAGGCTTCTAATAATCACGTTTTCCAGTAAGAGTTTCTATTACAATTAAGCAGGCCATCTTGTCTTTTAATTATTTATTGAAAGAAAACGCTAATATACACTATTTACAAGGTAGGTGATAATTATTTTAAGACAGTACATTTTTAATTCTGAGTCTTTACGCTCCTCAGAGCGGTTCCAATCTCGACTGCTTCTCGGAACTTAATTACAGCAAAAGTAAAGGAAGAGATGCCCGCCACCTAGTGGCAAGAATGTGACATCCTCCCACCTTTTGATTTTACCTCGATAAGATGGGAAAATCAAAACAAAATTTATCAATAATCAAACAAAAATTCAAGTACAACTTTCACAAATATGAAAAGTAACTAATGCTCTAAAATTAATACTTACAAAGAAGGATTACACATCTAAACATTTTCTGCATTACATTCATACCATATCCAGATAACATGTTCCAATTGACTACTGTTAGGACAATTAAATTTCTAAAATACTGAAAAGAAAAACAAAATTAGTATAGCAATTTAAAAATATGTAAGAGGTTTTACAGTTTTACGTCCATATCTAGTTTGATAGTTCATATCACTGTAACACTTATCCGCAGAGTTTTTTATGTTCATGGTGAAGTCACTAAACAAGTTAGGTCTATCAAGTTCGAGAGGATAAATACGTTTCACAGGTCTTAGGAGTTCACCCGTTGCAGTTTTCACTTTGACAACACGTACTTCGTTGTCTTTCCCAGGATATAGTTCTACAACACGACCTATTGGCCAATCTATTCTCTTCTTGTTGTCGCTGCCGACAAACACCAAGTCATTTTTGTTGATAGTCCGAGTAGATCGTTTAGATGGTTTTTGCACTAGGATAGCTAAATATTCATCACGAAATCTTTTGCGGAAATGTTCTCTTAAGTTCTGCAAGAACTTGTATCTTTTTGTCAGATTAATGGTATCCAGGTAGTCTAAGTCAGGCACTCCGACGTCGTGCACATCTTGTAGAAACATTGAAGGAGTTAGTGCCGTAAGATCATTTGGATCTTCTGAAAGGTACGTAAGGGGTCTTGAGTTGATTACTGATTCGATATCACAAAGTATAGTCAACATTTCCTCGTAAGAGACACAGGACTTGCCGAGAACATTTCTCAACATCTTCTTCACTGTTTGTACCAACCTCTCCCACCAACCGCCCCACCATGAAGCAGTTGGGGGATTAAACTTCCACTGTATTCTCATACTAGTTGAATGACATTCTATTTCTTTCCAATCTATCGATCTTAAAAGATTTTCAGTTCCAACGAAATTAGTGCCATTGTCGCTGTAAATAATACTTGGACGACCTCTTCTGGCAATAAATCTCCTTAATCCCAAGATGAACGCATTTGTTGATAAACTTTCTATCAGTTCAAGATGTATCGCGCGATAGACCGCGCAAGTAAAGAGCAAGATCCATGCCTTTTTTTCCTTTTCGTAAATAAAGAGGACCGGCTACATCGACTCCGGTCACTTCAAACACCAGAGCATCTCGAACTCGATCTTCAGGAAGAGGTGCTGGAACAGTCTCTATATTCTTTGCGCTATATCTTCTACAGCGAACACACTTCATAAGAACTTTACGTACTGTTTTTCTTCCTCTCAGGACCCAGAATTTCTGTCGAATATTGGCTAGTACGAATTGCACACCAGCGTGGGATAGTCGCAAATGGTAATCTAAAATTAACCTATGAACTAAGTCATGATTTGAGGGCAATACAATTGGACAGAGAAAATTTTCTTCTTCCTCTCTTCTAGTAATCTTGGTCTTTAACCGAATAAGGCCATCTGAGTCAAAAAGGTACAAAGGTTGCTAACTTTAAGTTCTTTGCCAAATGCTTCTATTTGTATTATCTTGCATATTTTCTTTTCTACAGTTTCTATTTCAGGGACCGTGAGTTCTCCTGATTGTTTAGAATCTGGTCTTCTGCAGTTGTTGATAAATCTGCATATCCAAGCAGTTATTCTTAACATTTTATGGTAAGATGAATATTTCTCAAAAAAATGTTCTACCCTTTGCGTATTTAGTGCAGAAATGACTGATTTCCTTTTTTCTGAATTCACTATTTCCATGTCCGGTATTTCCCTTTGTCTAGGCCATTCTTCCTGATTTTTCTTCAGCCAGTCGGGGCCCTCCCACCATCTAACTACTAAAAGTTGTTTAGCGGTGCAACCTCTTGATGGGAGGTCAGCTGGATTTTTTGTTCCAGCAATATGTTTCCACGTTTTTGGATCCGTCAGTTTCCTAATCTCCCTGACTCTGTTTTCCACAAAGACAGCCCAGACAATCTCTTCCCTTTGAATCCATGTCAAAACTGTTGTAGAATCCGTCCAAAAATGCGTTTCCATATTTTGCCATTGCAAACCATTTAAAACAGAAGAGCATAGTCTGGCACCTATCGTGGCAGCTATCAATTCCAGACGAGGGATCGTAATAGATTTTTACGGGAGCTACTCTAGACTTCGATGCCAACAGATGAACTTCAACTCCAGAATTCGTCACAGTTCTCAAGAAAACTGCAGCAGCATACGCATTACTACTGGCATCACAGAATGTGTGAATGCTGCAGAACTTCCTATTGTCCTTGCTGGAATGTATCCAACGTAGGAGGGATATTTCTTTTAAGAGAAAAAGGCTTTTATACCAATTCACAAAATTTTGTTTTGTACTCTCGTCAACTTCAGTATCCCAAGAAATTCCTGTTTTCCATAGGTTCTGCAACAATATTTTAGGATACAAGAGAACAGGACTCACAATACCAATAGGATCAAATATTTTGTGTGTTACAGCGAGAATTGTTCTCTTCGTTATTATACCCATTTCAAAATCTTCTAGCCAATTCAGATTCAAAGTTAAATTATCTTTCTGACAGTTCCATAACAGACCCAATACGGGTGAAATAGTTTCCTGTTTCAAGGTTATCTCCATTATGTAACCAACCTCGAAGATTAAACTTTCCTTCATTCATTATTTCTCGAGATTTTTCGATGAACTGGAATCATCTCGGATTCTTTGTCAAAACTGGCAACAACGTTATCTACGTAGAAGCTACGCAAGAGTTTAGCTATTATCTCCGTATCATATGAAGAATTTTTCATGTACTTTTGTAGATGGAATTCTATAACAGCTGCCAAAAGGAAAGGACTACTCTTAACCCCAAATACTACCCTAGTATGACGAAATATTTTCGTTTTCCTTTCTTCCACATCATTCCACCAGAAAAACCGAAGCCAGTCTCTATCTTGAGGCCTTACACTGATCTGTAAGAAAGCCTTTTCAATGTCTGCTATAGCAGCAAACTTGCCTTCCCGAAATCTCAACAAAAGAGATGGAATTAGTTCTATCAAATTTGGTCCACACTCCAAACACTGATTTAGAGAAGGAGACGATTGTTTCCTCGCAGACGCATCAAACACCGGTCGAATTGGTGTTGAGCTATTTTCTTTGATCACCGGTCTATGCGGTAAATAATGTCCATAGTCAACCGCAATATTTTCTTTAACTTCTTCGATCACTCCTAAGTTACACCAGTCATTAAAAACTGCATTGTATGAAGAAAATAAATTTTGAGATAAAAGTTTCTGGGTGGTAGATTGTAGACGTTTCAACGCTAAATCCTTGTGGGTGGAGAGTGGTACATGATTCTCCGCCCACGGAAGTGCGACTTCATAACGCCCTTCTTCGTTTAGAGATACAGAATTTTCGAATTGCAATTTTGCTTGCAAATCCCTTTCCTCTCTAGCCTTTTTTGTAACTGGATCTGTTATTCCGATAACATCAAGCCTCCACAGTTCTGACAAGCGTGGCATCAGAAATATGTAAAGATAACGAAAGCGTGGAAAAGGAATTTTCTATTTCATAATTGTCAGTGTTCGCTTTCCCCATGACTGTCCACCCAAGTCTTGTACTTACAGCAACTAATCTTCCCCAAGGAAGAACTTCGATTTTACCTGTAAATAAATTTGCAGCAACATCTGCCCCTAACAACAAATGAATCTCTTGGGGGTTCTCCTGGAATAATCTGCAATTTCCATTTTCAAAAACATCACTGACGTAAATTCCTCTTCTTCTAAGTTCCCTAATCCAGTGTATATTTTTGATTTTAGGGACCGAAGAACATATTTTTCTTTCATCCAATACATTGATTTCGCAATTATACCGTTTATCTACGCTACCCAATTTTATTCTATAACGTTTATGTTTTTCCGAAACTTCTATGCCACCGAAAAGTCCGTGGGTTACACTTTGTTCACCTAAGCTTCTTAATTGTAACCTTTCTGCTGCATACCTGCTTATGTATGAGTTTTGACTTCCGGTGTCAATTATCGCTCGAACAAATTGGTTATTCCCTCTTCCATATATGCGAACAATTAAAGTTTGCAAATATACTTCTGAACATCCTGCTTGATTTGAAAGTACTTTATTTTCTATCTGTTCGTCTTTTTTAATTTCCGAAACCTCGACAGAAGGATTTTGTTTATTACACATAATAGTTGCATGTTGTTTTTTTACAAATAGAACAAGTTATTTTTGTTCTGCAGTTTTGAGCCAAATGGTGTAATTTTAGGCATTTATAGCAAGCACATTTTCTTTTTAAAATGTCCCTTTTTTCTTGTAATGATAAGCCGGAAACGAAACTACAGTCATAAGTCTTGTGGAAATTGATTACAGAAGACGCAGTTCATATTTTCCTCTCTGCATTCGGATTTTGTAAACAAATCTGTAGCGGTCGGAATCTTTGGTTTATTATGTCTATTTGAGAGACCATATGCGCTTTTCGTTGCGGGAAGAAGACTGTCGCCGATCGGATACTTTTTGCTGTTGCGAAACCGTTGACCTTGTGCGTTCGCGGGATGAAAGTTCTGCGTGTAAAAATGACATTAAATCTTTTATGTTATAATCGGTGCCAACATTTTTGTGTTCTATGAAATTCAAGCGTTAATTCTGAAGGCAATAACTTCAAAATCATCGGACACAGCAAAGCGCTGTAAGATTCCGATACAACATCTAACGCTTCGAGACATCTAATCTGTGTTTGTACTTTATCATACAAGTTACGAAATGTTTTTATGTCATTCATTCGCATTTTTTAATGATTCAATATTCAGCAAATTATTCATGTGCGCATTAATAAGAATGTCTCTCCTTCCAAAACGGTCGTGTAAGATTTGAATTGCTGAATCATAATGTTTTGGCGATAACGGAAGTCCTTGAACGCAAGCTAGCAGCTGTTCCTCCTAAATATGCTTTCAGGTAATTAAATTTGTCTACTTTGTTCAATGATTCGTTATTATGTATTGAGGACTCAAAACTATTCCAAAAAGTAAGCCATTGACTACTGTTCCCATAAAATACGGGAATCGAAAGTTTTGGTAATTTAACATTAGGTGTATCTTTTATATTTTGCTGTGTGTTCGGTGCATTTAAGTCATGATTAAGTTCCTTAATCCGTTTCTTAAGCCTGAATTTCCATAACGTTATCTTCTCGCGATATTGTTCTGTAATTTCGAATTCATTTTCGAATTCATCTACACTCAGAATTGGTTCAACTTCCACATCGGCATTAGATAGCGTTTCGGTTTTAGCATTAAGCTGTTCTAACAATTCTTCGAGCTCATTAATACTACCTTCAGATTTATTTAATTCACTTTCGATTTTCTTAAATAGTTTTGTAACGGCAGTTCTTAAGATACTTCTTTTCTTTTTTAATTTATCTACTTCAGCCATTATCTTTCTTAGATTCAAACACTTACACAAAAAATATACGTCTCATGAAAAACAAATATTTAACTCTTACTTAGAAAACAAAATTATTCTTTTGCTGAATACTTCAAGAACAAGTATTAAAATCTTCAATTTTAATATTCAGCTTTTGAATTCACTTTATTAGAACTTTTCAAAAAACCTGGCGTCCCTGTTCGGGCGCCATAAAAATGTTGCATCAGGTTCTTCTATTTACAATAAAATTAATGTAAAATTCCTTACCTGCTGCATCTTCAGTGTTCTCGACGCCAGGCTTCTAATAATCACGTTTTCCAGTAAGAGTTTCTATTACAATTAGCAGGCCATCTTGTCTTTTAATTATTTATTCAAAGAAAACGCTAATATACACTATTTACAAGGTAAGTTATAATTATTTTAAGACAGTACATTTTTAACTCTGAGCCTTTACGCTCCTCAAAGCGGTTCCAATCTCGACTGCTTCTCGGAACTTAATTACAGCAAAAGTAAAGGAAGAGATGCCCGCCACCTAGTGCAAGAATGTGACAGTTACCATAAATTTTGCGAAATAAACTTCGAGAAGGAAATACGAATCATACTTTCCAAAACCTGAACAAAGGTTTCAAGTTAGATTTGGTTTAGTTTATGGGTTTACGTCAAAGTCTCGAAGGCTATCTGCTTAATGGGAGGGGTGGTTTCGTGAAGGACATTTTAAGGAAACTAGGCTCGTATACATAAACACATAGAGAAATTTTGAAAACACCCATGCAGGCAGCCCGTTTGTGGGATTCCAACCTCAGACCGAACTACCAGTATTCAGCAGTTTTACCGCTCGGGGGCTGGTGAGCCGCCAAAGGTTTTAAGATTCGAGAAAGATGACATAAGCTCCGTTTTCCACTGACTAGTTGGCTTAGCACATAAAAACCACGGAATTTCGTATGTATAAGTAAAGGTATGTATTAAATATATGTATATGTCTGGCTAATTGTAATGTACGCTGTGAAACATAAAACCACCACTCTCTCTTCACCCAAAAGTATACTTATGCACTTGTTTCAAGCACCTAAATCTACGTTTTGTGGCAGCACTGTATGGGCATGTATCTATAGTGTTACTGTCAATAAACTCCCAATTCGATTTTTATTGGAAGCCAGGAGGTTGTGCTCAATAGTACCGGATGATACCCGATTTGTCATAAAACACCGTCCGGGTGTCCGGCCCTGCATTCACCTGTTCACCTCTATATAAAGATAGGGTGCCCCTTGGTTATAGCTAAGTTGCTGTTTCATTTATCGTCAAGTTGTTCTTTCATTTATGGTAACCTGAGTAGTTGAATGTTATGGAAACCCTATTATGACGTAATTGCGGTCAATTTGAATGATGGGAAAAGATTTGGAAAGTATGTGTCGGATTTTGGATAAGAAGTACGTTGTTATTTTGTGGTTTACACGGTAAAATGGATCAATGTGGTAAGATTAATTTGAAGTTTCTGTACGATTTGAAACGGAAGGGGAAAAGCATTAATTGACTGGTGTGTAAATGAAGGTTTAAGTGTCCTGTTTGTAGGAAGGAAATGCTTATGATCGAACGTCGGACGATACCGGCACTACGCAGGATTTTAGATTTCTGTAACGGCCAAAATAACAAGTCAAAGAATTGCACAAACTAGGTGTCGCATGTACCGCCAAAAATCGCCAAGGGGCACCCGTAAATATATTTTTACCGACAATTTACATTAAAATAAGCACGTTTGATTTAACTTTTAATACTTTGTCTTCAAATGAAAATATTAAAAAAAATTAAGCATAAACATTTTTAAGCATTTTAGTATTAATAAATCTTATAAATATTTCAAATATTTTTCGAACATAAATGTTTTAAAAATGTTTCATGCAACTAAGCAAGGAAGAAAAGATCTATCGAAATAATCTGTACTTAAACTGATATACTACGACAGACATTTTTTAAAGTTTTTCTCATTTAGAAAGACAGAGTTATACTAAAATCATACAAAATCAAGGAAGCAATAGATAAAAAAATGTTCAAAAATAGCTATATAACATGAGAATATAAATGCTGTACTACAGGGGATATTATTAAGGCTTTAGTTTTACTTACCTATGCTGCAATTACTACCAATAAAACGTCCAATACAATCGCATTTTGCTATGTTATAAACAGCTAGACATTTTCCACCATTTTTGCAAGGATTGGGGCTGCAGAGATCTGCATGTGAATAAAATAAAATAAAAAGTAAAGATCCTTTCATATTATTTTCTACAACATTCACGAAAGGATAGAGGATAACGATACATACTGTATGTAGTTCATTATATTTTTAGTACATTTTTTTTTTTATATTCTTAAAAAAATAAATTATTTTTAACTAATATTTAAATAAAAAAATTAATTTGACAACTTATTAAAAACTTGCAACTGAATTGTATTCCCTTATTTGGAAATGTGTAGAGTAGACAGCCGTACAGAATACTGAGTAAACAACCCTAGACTAATTCGACGCTTAATCTTTTAATGGGACTGATTTATTTAAATCGAAAATAAATTCTATAAGTGGTTCTATGAACTAGAGTTTCTTCTCTAAATAATTGATTCGGTGTCCGCCGATAACATCGCGGCAAAAACATCGCGGACGAAAACGTCGCGGAGAAAATAACGCAAGGCGAAAACGTCGTGCTACAAAACATCGTGGGAGAAAACATTGCAAAGAGAAAACACCGCAGTTCTAAAACATCGTGGTACAAAACATTGTCGTCGAAAATAAAGCGGTTCAAAAACTTCGCAGTTTAAAAGCATCGCCGTCGAAAATATCGCTGTAAAAAATAAAGTATCTACAAATCATCGCAGACATGCTTTTTTTCAAATTTTAATAATTGTAAATGTTTATTCCCATAATGATTTTTGAGCGCAAGATGTAAAGAAGGATAATTTTTACTTTCACATTTTTATTAACTAATAAATTTTTGCTGAAAACATAAGAAGGAAACTTAAGCACAGAAAATTAAATGCAACTTATATATTACACTTTTCATGAAAAATTACTAGTAAAAACTTTATAAAAATGATTTATTAATGGCCTTTGTTAGTTATCTATGTCGGTTTAAAATTCTATTAAATGCTATAAGTTGCATTAATTTTCTATGCTTAAGTTTCCTTATTATTTTGTTAGCAAAAATTTATTAGTTAATAAAAAATATGAAAGGAAAAATTATCCTTCTTTCCATCTTCCGCTCACAGATCATTATGGGAATATCCATTTACAATTATTAAAACCTGAAAAAAATCATATCTGCGATGATATCGTCATGCGATGATTTGTAGATACTTTATTTTTACCGCGATATTTTCGAAGACGATGTTTTGTACCACGATGTTTTAGAACTGCGATGTTTTCACTTTGTTTGTTTGATGTTTTTTTTCATGCTGTTTTGTACCACGACGTTTTCCCTTGCGTTATTTTCTCCTCGACGTTTTCGTTCACGATGTTTTGCTGCGATGTTTTCGGCTGTAACCATTGATTCATAACTCTCGTTTGACTTTGCTTACAAATTTTTAGATTAGTCTCGAAACGGCATTTTGAGTACAAACACTTAAATGCGTTGTATTACTTTTCAAATTGTTGTCACCAAATATTATCACTCTGTATTATATTTAAAGAAATTAAATAGTGAAGAATCTGCATGAATGTATGTACGTTTCTCGTACTGTTAAAAAAAAAGGTACCTAGAGCCATTAAAATTTGATTAACGTAGCTCTCCACTCGATCATGCGCACCTGGAAGCCTGAATTTTGAACTTCGAATTTGTTTTATTATCTAATTCCTATTTTATTAAACTGTAACGAATATTTAATTAAAAACTTAACGATTTCAAAACGAGCATTTGAAGACTATACGGAATAAAACATTTTTATCTCCAGCGCGCGAGACTGTCTATCGGAAATTATTAAGATATGCTGTTTTATTGTTTTGTTGTTGAATCGAATTTTATGTGGCGTAAGCGCAGAGAACGTGATATTTAATAAATAAAGCAAACACTCAAATGTTAACAATAAAAAGAGAACAAAAAAAAAAAAAAAAAAAAAAAAGTTTTACAAATCCGTCTTAGTAAGAAAACTGGACATTGATACGATGAACTAGGATAAGACCTGGGAGGGAGGAAGAAAAAGAAACAGAAGAATGTATGCCTAACACTTAACGATGCATCAGAATTATAAACGTATTTATATTATGCTGCTTTTGAGATTTTTGTAATTTAACTGTTGAACTGCATATGAAGTAAGTGCGAAGAAAGTTATACTTAAAAATAAAGATTAAAAAAAACAGTTAGTAGGAGTGTGCGTAACAACAGACTGAGTGAGAGTTTAAAAAACCTTATAAACCCCTTTTCGGCGACCGTTAAAATCTGAAACCCTTCAGATTTTATTTATTTGAATAAAATTTATAACAGCAGCTTTATCTTTTTAATTTAGTGTCAGAGCTAATAATACACCATTTTGCTAAACATTAAAATAAGAATTTATATATATTAATATGTAATAATTAATAATATTAAATATAATGATAATATTATTAATAATAATACATCATTTTGTAAATAGTATAATAAAATTAAATATTATTAACTCTTAAATAATATTAAAAATTTGATTTAATTCAGAGGATTTTTGAAACGGCTGCAGTTTGTTATTGAAAATTTAATTTAAAATTAAATTTTAAAATATAGATTTTTATTTAAGGGGAAAATATCTGGTTTATAGAGAGGATTTTATCAAATAGCTACAGTTTTTCAACGCACATTATTTTGTACAAAAAATTATTTTTCTTTATGTTAATTTTCTTTTTTTACATTCGAAGTTAAATGTTTCAAAAAAATAATTATTAAATATAAAAAAGGTAACTAAGCAACTATTCATTTATTGATTGCTTATAAAACCATAATTAGATCCTTTTTCTTCACCCGTCAAAAGTATTTTTTTTTAAACAATCAGTTTTGCATCAATACAGAGCATTATAAATTACTTTAAATTTCCATACCTTTGCCGTCAGATGTCTGATTCGTAGTAGGACCTAAAAGATTTATTTGCATATGCTGAACGGAGATCCTGAAATTCATAATTTTTCCTAATAATGATGCACTTTCTGCTATAGCACTCAGAATTTGTATCACGTAAACTACGTGCCAAAAGATTATCATATTGGCGATTGGAAAGATAATGCCACCAAACTATACCTAACGAAAAAACACCAAACTATAACTAACGAAAAGAACTTCCTTGTTAAAGGTTTTTATCTTGATAGAAATCGGAATGTAAAGTAAAATAACGTTTTAAGAGTAAGTTATTTTGCGTTATCAGAAACACCAACGAATCAAAAATTATCTATTATTTCTTTATTATTTCCGTTAGGCTGTAGAAGAATATTTCGAGATAGGATAGGCAGATTAAATCACATCAGCTACATTATTCCTTGCTTACAGCCCTTCTTGATATAATACTCCCTGAAATACCATACTTCCCTTCCATTATTGTAGAGTCTTCCTATGTCTTGCGAAATCTTTCATAAGCCAATATTGCGTGAAACGAAGAAGTAATTAATTATTTAAATAATCATCAACTTGTATACATAAATGCTTTATGTGTTCCCATACCTTTTATATCTCTAAAAATCTAATAGGGTAATGATAGAGAAAAGCAATAGATCTTATGAAAAGAAATAAAACATGTACCATGTAATTTCAATTTCCAAAATTTGAAAAAAAAAAAAAAAAAAAAAAAATGTGAACAGTACTGAAAGCCGTAAAAACGGTAGTAGTGGGGATGCTGCTCCGACCCATTGGATATTAACTATAGTTCGACCGTCTCAAGCGTAACCCTGGTTGGCATTCTGCCAAAACACATAGACTCGTCCAAATGGGGCGGTATTACTTGCTGCGAAGTGAAAGGTCTTCTCTTCTCCGAAAAGAGCTATGCTGGAGGGGGAAAAAGTCCCCATCCTTCCGCCCATGGAGGTAGGAAGTAAGATGGAGTAGCCCTAAACAGGTTTCTCCCGTACCCTGCTCTGAAGCACTGGCGATCCCTACGTGGTGACCAAAATATTGGGTCATTTACCATTAAGTTCAATGGGTTTTGACGCGACCGGATGTAAATATTTTGTAATTACGTCGTAAATATGCATATAAATGTATATATTTTCTTTTTCTACAACACTTCAGAGTCCTAAGTATATGAAAACAACATATTTTTAAACAGCATTTCATTCAGAACGGAATTAAATGCTATAGTTTTCGCAGTACAGTTTTCTCAGAATGGTTTAATTTGAATGAAATATTTTCACAAGTTTTCGTTAATTACATTAGAAAAAAAAATTTAAGGTAATTCGATTTGATTCGGTTAAGGTACAAAAATTAAGATCAAAGTTTATTGTATTATTAATATTAAAATTATGCATTATTTCTTTTCTATTTATAGAGCTTCTTCCTAAAATACTTTCTTAAATATGACATGATTTTTTGGCTTCTGAGGCATCTTTTAAATAAAAAAAATATTTATAATTAATGCTCTATTCGGTTCATTTTAAATTAGAGAATTATTAAAAATTAGCGAAATACTTTAAATAGTACTTAACTTTCTCTGAACATTTCTGAGAGGGAATAAAATAAGGATTTTTTTAAAGTATTATTTAAAACTTGTAACTGAGTTATTATAAAATGTAAGGGGAATAATTCTTTTAATTATACTTACCATTTTTTTTTACCATTAATTTCAACAATACATATTCCAAACATATTCCTTTTTGCAAACACATGCATTAATACCCTTACATATTTCATATTTTCCATTTCCGGCATGTGCAAATCTTTAATTTCTGTGCATCCACTATATTTTATTTTTAATTAACCCAAATAAGGAAAACGTGTAAACCCAAAGGGATTACTTTTCAGATATATAAAATTAAAATGATCAGTTTAAAATGAGCAGCAGTAAAGCCTCTCCTCTAAAAAATTTTAAAAGGTACATGTTATAATAATATATGGATGCGAAAAAATTTATTTTATTTAAAACATTTTGACGTTTGGAACATAAAATAAAAGTAGCGAATACTCTATCAAGGGTATCGAACGACGTATACAATTTTAAATGTACCATAAGGTATTTTTCATTCTTTAAGCATAAAATTTTT